GCTATTGTACCGGGTCATCTTTTTTATAGCGGTTGACTCAAATGCACTTTTGTCTCATTTTTTGTTGAATGACCCTTGCTTGGATCATCCAGTCGTATTCTCATCTGTCTCGTGGTCTGGTCGGCTTCGGTCGGTTGGTCGAGTGGGACTCACGATCTTCTGACAGTGATCTGACCTTTGTTGTACTCTTTCTTTCTGGACCATTGGATTTCTTTAAGATTTCTTTAAGATATGTTGACATATTTTTGATGCATAACATAAAAAAATGTCACAGACTCAAATAAAAAATGTCACTATTTTAACTTTTTAAAAGTGAAATACACATTTTTATGCATATGTAAAGTGACATATATGTAAAAAAGGATGTTTAGGTTTTAGATATGTCAATACATAAGAATTGAGTGGTATGCTTATAAGAGTTTGTTTGGGGTAGTTGTAGTTTATTATAAAGATGCGACACAACAACTGTGCCAAGAAGTTGCTGTGCCATACGTATTGCGGGGAAACTGGGTGTTTTTTTGCTATGTGCAGTTTTGTGGCAACTATACTGCAATTGTTTATGAACAAATGACAATTTTTCCCTTATAGTTTAGTGTTATTTATAACAGAATTAGTCCTGTTTGTACATTTTATACTTGAAAACAGACCAGTTTGAATGTCACAAAATAAAAATTAAGACTTTATTAAACATTGAGTAACACAAAAATCAAAATAAAAAATAATATTATTAAAATAACAATCAATATTATCATAATATTGTTTTTAAAATCTAGCCAATTAATGTCACGAGATAATCTCTCCAACGAAATAGTTTTTATCATCATAATATTGTTATTATCATCTGCTTACTTAAAAAAGTCACAGTTCTCTGTTCTATTCTTTAGACACTTGTAAAATTTTCTCCAGTAACTTTGCATCTATTTCGAAGTAAGCAAAAAACTTTACAGTCCACAATAACATTACAATGGTTAGAGGTTCTGAAGGTCGTTAAACTCATTTTTTTGAAGAATTTAAACCATAAAGCACAACAGTCCCTTAGATGCAACATTAATAATGAAGAATAATAGAAATTTTTAATTAAATTTTTATAAAAATATGAGGTTTCAGAGGACAAAGTATAAAACAACGAATTATCTGTCTCTACAAGAAGACTGTAGATCTTAAAGAAAAAGGGTTTTGGTTATCTTTAAACCACGTAATACTGAGCTCGTATGTGCCACATATACACACCACCTCAAAGGCCATCCAGAAGAACACCAACATTCATACGATTGAAAAAGGAGAGGTACTTGGTTGTCTTCATAGTGATTTTATACGTATCAAGAACGGATAACATATAAGTCATCTAGAAGAACCCATAAGGTAGAATATCTTTTCATAGACTTCCAAGCCAAAAAGTAAAACATGCAATAAAAACTTACACTAGATTTTATACCCACGGTTGTCTCGCAGGCCATCCACACGAGAAAAAAATACATGCAAAGTAACTAGAAATAAAAATAGTATTTGGTATTAGGAAACTGTTTGATAAATCCTCTTTATAAGAAATATTCAGTATAAGCCAAATAATATTTATCTGATATAAAATCGAAGCATATTGAAAGTGATATAAATTATTTCCCCATGAAATCAAACATAAAATGTCCATCAAATAAAATAAAATTCATGCATCTCGGTTGTCATGAAAATAACGTAAATAAATGGCTCTGCGGTCAAGGGTCATCGTCATAAAGAACTCCCTCTAGATCAAACAACTTCATAGAGAACAAATACAACGACATGTCCTCGTGATTTTTAGATTTGCTTATAAAATTCACATTATTTGTTGAATCGAAATTGCTTGTGATGTGCTATTGGTCATTGGTGCACGAAGCAACTAATTGTGAAATTTGACTTCGAATGAAAACTACACAATCTTTTTTCTTTTTTTCAACCCTAGGACGCTTTGATGGACTAATGGATTCAACTTCATTGAGGTTCGGGCTGAAGCCGTCATTGGAGAGCTGTTTGCTCGACATCCACATGCTCGGTTATACCCTCTCTCACTAGAGGCTCATGCATGATCGCCCATGACCATGAGTCCACCAAACATACGATCCAACTTCTCTTCTAGGCCAGGGTCAATGTCACAAAGTAATGGGTGATTAATATGTTGATGTAATTAAAAAAAAATAAAATTGATAAAAAGGACTGGACGTTTCATAAATTCTTATATCTAATCTCTCGGCCCACCATTCTTTTGAAGCATTAAGTGTTCGTTTTATTCGATCCTAACCCAAGCCCGTAGATCTTCACTTCAATTTTTTCTAAAATTTTCAATCCCTTTTTAATCGATCTCACTTGTTTTTCAGTTGCATCCTATCTTATTCATTTTTTTTTCTTTCCTTGAACTTCTTTATAATATTTTGTCAGCCCTTCTTGTTAAACTAGGTTGCTGACCTATTTCCCAATTTCACCTCTTTAAGGCAGAAGTCACAAAATATTAGTCTGATATTTTTTTTTCACATGACAGACAAACCATGATGATACTAGCATGAAAAGAAACAAGCAACAAATATTTTCCAAAAAAAACACAGCGTCATTTAAAATACCACAACTCGAAAAGGTAAATGAAAAGAAATATCACCACAAAACCACCACCAAGGCTACCACTACCATTTCACCAAAAAACCACCACCAACACCACCACCATGTCACTAAAAAAAAACCACCAACACCACTGCTACCAACAATCTATCAATACCACCACCATTCTATCACCAAAAAAGCACCACCACCACCACCACCACCACCACCAACACCGGCAACACCACCACCGCCATGTCACAAAAAAAACACCACCAACAATACCACAACCAACATCACCACCAACACCACCACCATTTCACTAAAAAACCACCACCATTTCACCAAAAACCACCACCACCATCAACACCACAACTACCATGTCACCAAAAAAGCAACACCACCACCAACACACCACCACCAACACCACCACCACCATCAACTCCAATATCACCACCACACCACCACAACTATTTCACCAAAAAATCACCGCCAACATCAAAACCACCAACACTACCACAACCATAAAATACCAATCCATATTCAAATATTAAAATTCTCACTGTATTTTTTTTTTCAAATTCCCGTACTTTTTTTCAAATTCCCGTACTTTTTTTCAAATTCTCACTGTAAAGATAAGATTCACCATAAAACCACCCATACATATTCAAATCATACACAATACCCAAAACATTGCTTTTTTACAAATCCATCTTTAGCTCAAAACAATATTCACATTGAAATGTTTGATAAAATCCATGTCTCTCCAGTTCGGTCTCTCGCAAATATCAAAATCCTTGATAAAATCCAAACGAATATTCACATCGAAAAAGAATAATTGAACAGAGTAAAGGCAGAGCAAAATCACAAATGCTTCGGATGTTAGGTATGTTGATATCCCAGTATGAAGAATGAAAGTGCAAAGCATAGTTTGAGTATAGCAGAGTTCACAAATAACAAAAAATAAAGGAAGAGAAAACCAAAATCCAAAATATCATTTTCGTGATACTCGAATATCAGTATTCAGAGTAGAGCAAAGCCACAATTTTCCCAAAGAAAACCGCACATTCCAAATCTAATTCAAATTTTAAAGAAAAATGATAGAAGATACCGTGAGAGGGGCGATCACTTCTTATGGTACAGACGGGAGAGAAGCAACGGTCATAGGGCATAGAGTCGAGAGAGACAGCAAAGAGACAAGAAAAGCTGCGCTAGAGAGGCAGAGAAGTGAAGGAGCTCGGACGAGAGGTGAGGGAGTTAGGGCCGATACGTGGGGGTAGGGAGGGGCAATAATATGAAGGAAACATAGGCCATGGGTTTAAAGTTATACCTGCTGCCCGCATTTATGGGTGCGGCGTCAGATATGCTGCTGCACCGCTGTAACCAAACACCCGATTCGGTGGTGCCAAAATGCATCGCTGTTGATAGGCAGCGCCAAACGGACTCTAAGTATTGGACAAAATATTATGGAAGTTCATTATAACATTGAGATTCTCCCTTTGTCAGATCTTAAGAAGTTGATTATATGTAAAAATTGAAGCATAGGTGTTAGATATGTAAATACATAAGAATTGAGTGGTATGCATGTAAATATTCCAAAAAAATATTATAAAAGTTGATTATAACATTGAGATTTTCCTCTTACCAGATATTGAGAAGTCCATGGTTCACAAACTACCATCCTAGTTCATATTTCTTGCACTTGAAAGAACAAACCTTTGGCTTATTGGTGGAATTATTCCCCAGTATTTGATATATTATTTCCTTCAGAAATATCAATTATAATTAGAAAATTTTTTACTATGAGTTTGCATGAAAGGATCTGTGGGTTTTGATTCCGTTATCCTCCAGTCCGTCAATATTAAAGCCACCTTGGTGAATGTTAATGATGAACTTCTATCATATTATGTTAATTAAATTGTGCACTTGTTTGTACGAGAGTTGAATACAAATTATTCATGCAGAGTTTCTTCTATCATCAATGGGATTCCCCTTAATGTATGTTCTGGTTAGTACTCTAACTAACCTGTTGTGCTTATGGATTTTTTGGTTATCACCTGTTTATTAAATTTAAATATGTAGAAATGCCTTGTTTCTCTGTTCCGTATTGAAAGCCTCCTCTGCCTTTTATTCTTCTTAGTAGATGTATATATATATATATATATGTGTGTGTGTGTGTGTGTGTGTGTGTGTGTGTGTGTGTGTGTGTGTGTGTGTGTGTGTGTGTGTGTGTGTGTGTGTGTGTGTGTGTGTGTGTGTGTATTACTTTGAAAGCTTCCTGATGATTACCTCAGGCAATCCTTTTAGCTCTGCTTTTCAGTTCTAGCATAACATAACGAAATTTTTTTCACTTTTTTTCTTCCCTTTATTTCAATTAAAGTTACAAGGTGCACAATTCTATGTAATTTATATTGATACAAAATCTTAACTTGTAGACTGAGAAATGTGGATCGGGGCTAGTTACAGATGAAGACATGAGACAAGGAGATTTTGTGATTGAATATGTTGGGGAAGGTGATGCCTCCTTTTATAGATGAGTATCTATGGAATGAGTGATTGCAAAATTATCATATGAACATGATCTTAGAAATATATTGCCTTCTGATAAAATTAAACGATGTTTTAACCTCTTTCTTTACCCCTCTTCTGTCATTCTCAGTTATTGATGATAAAACATGCGAGGAAAGGCTTTGGAAGATGAAGCACTGTGGGGAGACTAACTTTTATCTTTGTGAGATTAATCGTGATATGGTTATTGATGCCACTTACAAAGGAAATAAATCCAGATTTATAAATCACAGCTGTCAACCTAATACCGAGATGCAAAAATGGTTGTTTCAAATGAACCTTATTTCCCCTGATAATTTTTTCTGGTAGTTAGCATCCTTATGTAATTTCTTTCGTAGGACAATTGATGGTGAAACACGAATTGGCATATTTGCAACTCGTGACATAGAGAAGGGAGAGGAACTGACTTATGATTATCAGTATGTTCTATATTGTCTCCACTGAATAAGTCTGCCACTATATAGATCATTTCCTTTTTCAATGATGAACTGAGAATTTGCTATGTTTCTCCATTGAACTTCAAAGACTTTTCAGTTTTATATTGTCCCTGTGATTGCTCATTTGCTGTTGCTTGATATTTTCTTAGGAAGCTATAAGCCTGAATTTATTTACAGGTTTGTACAATTTGGAGCAGATCAAAATTGCTATTGTGGTGCCAAAGGCTGCAGACAGAAGCTAGGAAGCAGACCTAGTAAGCTAAAATTTCCGATGCTGCTTTGCAGCTAGTACTTTATGAGATGGCAGCCTCATCTCCCACGAAGAATGCAGTTTTTCGTGAAAAATATGTAAGTCCTTTATTATATTGCTAGGCATGAAGTTAAAATAATACTATTTCTCCAAAATTCTAAAATAATTCCTCTTTCTTTGTATTCCCAGCTAGCATTGATCAGAACTTTTTCTTTTAGCAGATTGATCATGCGAGTTTTGTTGCTTATTTGAGTGATTTCCATAAAATTGTACGAATTTATTCCTTTGCTAAACAGATATCGGGATATGGATTTTGGGAAGTTAAAAGGATAATAGAGGTTTCATTGATTGTACAGTTAGCAGGATCAATTATCATGCTATGGCTCTCAATTCAGCCATGGTCAACTTTTTTTATTTTATTCATAAAGATGGAACATTAATTTATAAGTTTGACTAGCTCACCTCATAATGCCGTCTCTTCTACGGTCGACTTCAATATTTAATATGTATATATATATATATATATAGCAAAGAG